GATGGCCTGAGTGCTTGGGCCTCTACTCCCATGTGGGAGATCCAGAAGTTCCTGACTCCTGGCTTAAGCCTGGCCCATCTCTGTCCATTGCTGCCATTTGCGGGAGTGAATCAGTGTCTTTTCTCTCTCTATGTGTCTTTTCCTCTTTCTGTGTAACTCTGACTTTCAAATAGATAAATAAATCTTTAAAAATTATGCATGTGGATATCCAGTTTGCCCAGCACCATTTATCAGCTTTGCCCCTCCATTATTATATGTTTTTGATGACTTGGTCAAGAATCCGTTGGTTGTAGACATTTGGACTTTTGTCCTTTATTCTATTCCACTGGTTTATGTGCTTATTTTTATACTAGTCCCACATTGTTTTGATTATTACAGCTCTGTCATATATCTTTTTTTTTAACTTTTATTTAATGAATATAGATTTCCAAAGTACAGCTTATGGATTACATTGGCTCCCCCCCCCCATGACTTCCACCCACATACAACCCTCCCCTTTCCCACTCTCTCTCCCCTTCCATTCTTATCAAGATTCATTTTCAATTTTCTTTATATACAGAAGATCAGTTTAGTATACATTAAGTAAAGATTTCAACAGTTTGCATCCACGTAGAAACACAAAGTGAAAAATACTGTTTGAGTACTCGTTATGGCATTATATCTCAATGTACAGCACATTAAGGACAGAGATCCTACATGAGGAGTAAGTGCACAGTGACTCCTGTTGTTGACTTAACAAATTGACACTCCTGTTTATGGCATCAGTAATCTCCCTATGCTCCAGTCATGAGTTTCCAAGGCTATGGAAGCCTTTTGAGTTCACCGACTCTTATCTTATTTAGACAAGGTCATAGTCAAAGTGGAAGTTCTCTCCTCCCTTCAGAGAAAGGTACCTCCTTCTTTGAAGTCTGTCATATATCTTGAAAACTAGTTTTGTGAAGCATCCAGATTTGTCCTTTTTGCTCAATATTTCTTTGGCTCTTTGTTGTATTTGAGCTTTCATATGAATTTTAAGGCTTTTATTTTCTAGTTATGCAAAGAATATTGTTTGTGTTTTGATGGAGATTGCATTGAATCTGTAAATCTCTTTGGATGACATGGATATTTTACAGTATTAATTCTTCTAGTGTGTGAATATGAAAGATATTCACTTTGCTTTTGTGTCCTTTTCATTTTCTTTCATCAGTGCTTTACAATTTTTATTGTTGAGGTTTTTTGCTTCCATGAGTAAATTTATTCCTAGATGTTTAATTTTTTGTAACTATTGGTAATGGGGCTGTTTCATTTCTTTTTCAGATAGTTTATTATTTGAGTATTAAAATATTACTGACTTGTGTATTGATTTTGCAACTTTACTAAGCTCCTTTATCATCCCTATGGGAACAAGATTCACTTCTGTGTTGAACCACCTGTTGTAGTGCAGAGCACTGCATAGGTAAGGTACTGGGGTCACAGTTATTCTGTTGGGTCTAGTTGGGTTCATGAGACTAAAATCTTCTTGATAGTGTGAAGGAATGTATGTGGGGGTCTCTGGAATCCGGTACTCACATATTTCTGTCCCATAGGGCAATATGGATTCAAATAGTGAATCCTTTCTCAAGATAAAACTACACTCCTGTAGCCTGTGGTCTAAGGGTTTAGGAGATGATGTGAAATTCCACTCTAAAACAAAGTTATCATATGTAAAGCAAATGGAAAACACTTCAGGGCATTGGAGTGAACAAATATTTTTCTGGATCAGACTCAAAATGCACAGAAAATAAAAGAAAAAAGGCAGACAAATGGGATTTTATCAAACTAAAGAGAGTTTGCAAAGCAAATAGCCAAATGAGCAATGAGACAGCCTATAGAATAGAAGACAATATTTGCAAGCTATAAGTCAATGTCCAGAACATTATAAATAACTTAAGCAACTCAACAGCAAAAAATGAAAGATCCAAGTAAAGAATGGACAATGGATCTAAGCAGACATTTCTAAAAGGAAGACACACAAATGGCCAACAGGTACATACAGGATGCTCAAAATTGCTAGTCATCTGGGAAATGCAAATCAAAACCAGAATGAATCACCACTTTTATTTTTTAAAGTAAAATTGGCTCTTATCAAAGAGATAAAAGATGACACATGTTGGTTAGGATATGGAGAAAAGGGAACTCTAGCACACTAATCTAAATTATTACAGCCTCTGTGTAAAAAACATGGGGATCTCAAAAAACTAAAAATAGTACAAACACCTGTTGCCTCCCTGGTGTGCTTTCTAGGAAGTTGGAATAGAGAACAGAGGCACAACTTGAACCCATGTGGGCATCCCAACTGAGGTACTAACCTATAGGCCAAATGCCCATTATTGAAACAATGAGTAAATATCCTATTGAAATTTTTATTTGATGTAAAGGTCAATATCTTATTCATTCTAGATTATCTGTTTCTATCCTACCAACTTATCTACACTTGGTATCAGTAATTAGTTCCCAAACAATGGAATACAAAGTTTCAACATAAGATAATAGCAATGACTCATTAATAATTTCTAATTTTGGTTGTCTTATACTTTATTATATTTTTTTCCTTTTTTTATTTATTTTTTTTATTTTTTGACAGGCAGAGTGGACAGTGAGAGAGAGAGAGACAGAGAGAAAGGTCTTCCTTTGCTGTTGGTTCACCCTCCAATGGCCACCACGGCTGGCGCGCTGCTGCCGGCGCACCACGCTGATCCGATGGCAGGAGCCAGGTACTTATCCTGGTCTCCCATGGGGTGCAGGGCCCAAGCACTTGGGCCATCCTCCACTGCACTCCCTGGCCACAGCACAGAGCTGGCCTGGAAGAGGGGCCACTGGGACAGAATCTGGCTCCCCGACTGGAACTAGAACCTGGTGTGCCGGCGCCGCAAGGTGGAGGATTAGCCTAGTGAGCCGTGGCGCCGGCCTACATTTTTTAAATTAGTAATTTATTAGTGATATTGGCTTCCTGCTGGGGAGATATCATCTTGCCTGGAAAGGGATTCTATGTGTAAAATATTAAAACTGAGAAAACTGTCATAAAGAACCCTTCAGTAAAGAAGTGACAAGAACTGCAAGTGACACAGTGAATGAGAAAAAGAACAGAGAGGAACAAATCATGCTGTTACTGCAGCATTGCCTGATGCCATATCTTGCTTCTCTTTTGATAGTAAAGAGTAGCATGTTTTTCCAAAAGATAGGAGCATTTCTAATTTCCTCTGGATTCTATTTTCTAAATATCCTTTTCTCTATATATGTACCATTTTTTCTTGTTGGAACTGGATTAACTAGTGGTTTGGGTTAAGGGTAAATATCTCTTGATTGATGGGTTAAGTTTTTAAAAGCAGTTACAGGAGCCTTCTCTCAATCAGTTCTAGTTGTCCACGTTCCAAAATATTGAATGGAGCCTTGCTGCTTCTGTAATTATAAAACTATGACAAGGAACTGAATTACACTTTGATCAGTACACATTATATACACACATTGAAATACCATACTGTACCTCAGAAATATATACAGTTATTATTATGTCAAAAAACATATTTTAATGTTTTTTTACCTTTTATTTAATGAATATAAATTTCCAAAGTACAGCTTATGGATTACAATGGCTTCCCCCAAATAACTTCCCTCCCACCCACAACCCTCACCTTTCCCACTCCTTCTCCACTTCCATTCACATCATGATTCATTTTCGATTCTCTTTATATACAGAAGATCAGTTTAGCATACATTAAGTAAAGATTTCAACAGTTTGCTCCCACGCAGAAACATAAAGTGAAAAATACTGTTTGAGTACTAGTTATAGCATTAAATCATAATGTACAGGACATTAAGGACAGAGATCCTACATGAGGAGTAAGTGCACAGTGACTCCTGTTGTTGACTTAACAAGTTGACACTCTTGTTTATGGCCTCAGTAATCACCCTAGGCTCTTGTCATGAGTTGCCAAGGCTATGGAAGCCTTTTGAGTTCACCAACTCTGATCATATGTAGACAAGGTCGTAGTCAAAGTGGAAGTTCTCTCCTCCCTTCAGAGAAAGGCACCTCCTTCTTTGGTGACCTGTTCTTTCCACTGGGCTCTCACTCAAGGAGATCTTTCATTTAGGTTGTGTGTGTTTTTTTTTTTTTTTTTTTTTTTTTTTTTTTTTTTTTTTTTTTTTTTTGCCAGAGTGTTTTGACTTTCCATGCCTATAATATTCTCATGGGATTTTCAGCCAGATCTGCGTGCCTTAGGGCTGATTCTGAGGCCAGAGGGCTATTAGGACATTTGCCATTCTATGGGTCTGCTGTGTATCTCACTTCCCATGTTGGATCATTCTCTCCCTTTTTGATTCTATCAGCTAGTATTTGCAGACACTATTCTTGTTTATGTGATCCCTTTGGTTCTTAGTCCTATCATTATGACCAATTATGAACAGAAATTGATCACCAGGACTAGTGAGATGGCATTGGTACATGCCACCTTGATGGGATTGAATTGGAATCCCCTGGTATGTTTCTAACTCTACCGTTTGAGGTAAGTCAGCTTGAGCATGTCCCGAATTGCACATCTCTTCCCTCTCTTATTCCCACTCTTATATTTAACAGTGATCACTTTTCAGTTAAGTTTCAACACTTGAGAAAAACTGTGTATTGATTACAGTATTCAACCGAAAGTATTAAGTAGAACAAAAAAAATACTAAGAGGGATAACATATTAAGTTGTTCATTAACAGTCAGGGCAAGGGCTGATCAAGTCACTGTTTCTCATAGTGTTCATTTCACTTTAACAGGTTTCCTTTTTGGTGCTCAGTTAGTTTTCACCTATCAGGGAGAACATAATGTTTTTAAAAAGAATGATTAAAATATTTGAAAAATATTACACAGCAAATTTCACAAATACGGAATTGATAAGTTTAAAACTGTATGCCATTTTGAATAACATTATTAAATTTTTTATAGTTCTGCTGTCATTCTGTAGATATGAATCACCCCTTTCTGTAGTGCATCCATGCTGTATAGGATAACCTTCTGTTAGTCACTTTGTAGCTGTCTTTGTGATCAGATTAGCTGTAATGGTATCACAGTACTTATGTCCAAATAACTCTTAGTGTGCCTAATAATAGCCCTAAAGTGCTAGAGTAAGGATGCAGGCATTTTGAATATTCCAAAGAGAAGACATAAAGTGCTTGCTTTAAGCAAAAAGATGAAAATATGCAGTTTTATCAGGAAGGAAACAATCATATGATAAAGCTGCTAAGATGTATGGTAAGAATTAATCTTCTGTCTGAAATCGTGAAGAAGGGAAATTTATGATAGTTTGCAGTTTAACTTCACGACACAAAACTTATGTCCACAGTTTAGTTAAGATGAAAAGTAAACTGAAGGTAGATCATTGTAAAAATTGAGGGAAGAAATAAGAGAGAAAGATGGAGGAGGCATGGGAGCATGTGTGTGAGGGAGGGTAGAGTGGGAAGTGTCACTATGTTTCCAAATCAGTATAAATGAAATACATAAAATATGTTTACCTTAAATAATATTTGAAAAAAAGACATTAAATTTTAGGATTTGGTGTTATTCAAAGTTTCAGGCATCCACTAATGTCTTGGTTTGTATCATTTACAGATATAGGTGTGTTATTGTATTTTCGTAAGTGATAAGTGCTATATGGATTTCACCGAGTGTTGATTGTTCCACTTATGAACATTTGGGCCACTAGATATACCCCTTGGTCAACTATTATATACATGTGCAACATCTTTAAAAGGAAAACACATCCATCATAACTGCTTAGGTCTTATTTTCAGTGGTCATCTTGCCTTGATCCAAAACTCCTTAGTCAGCGTCCTTCTCAGGGCAGCTTTCACATCCTTGTTCCTCAATGTATAGATAAATGGGTTGAGGGTAGGTGTGACAATGCCATAGAAGAGAGCCATGATCTTCCCCCTGTCACGAGAATAGCTAGAGGGAGGCTGAACATACATACTGATGGCTGTAAAGTAGAAGAGGCCCACCACAAGCAAATGTGAAGCACAGGTGTTAAAGGCTTTCCAGCGACTTTCAGCAGAGCGGATTTTCATTACTGCTTGAGCGATGAACACATAGGTGCCCATGATGAGGCTGAGTGGCACCAAGAGAAGCAAAGCCCCTAATACGTTGAGCTCAGCTTCATTCACACGAGTATCAGTACAGGCTAGTTTCAAAAGGGCAGGAACTTCACAGAAGAAATGGTCCACCACCCTGTGTCCACATCTTGGAGCCACCACTGTGAGAGTGGACTGGACAAGCGAGTTAGCAAAACCACTAATCCAGGTTCCAGCAGCCATGTGGATGCAGCGTCTCTGATTCATGATGATTGGGTAGTGAAGAGGCTTGCAAATGGCTGCGTAACGGTCAAAGGCCATGATGGCCAGAAGTATACATTCCGTGGAACCCAAGGCTAAAAAAATATAGAGCTGAGCGACACAACCTCCATAGCTAATTGTCTTTTTGGGTCCTCTAAGGTTGACTAGCATCTGTGGGATGGTGCTGGTAGTATAGCAGAGATCCAGAAGGGACAGGTTTGAGACAAAAAAGTACATGGGACTGTCAAGCTGAGGATCCAGACGGGAAACTAGGATAATGGAGATATTTCCAAATAGAGCAAAGATATAGGCCACCATAAAGATCACAAAGAGTGGGGTCTCTAGCCAGGGGCGATCAGAAAAGCCCAGTAAGATAAAATCATCTAGTGAGCTCTGGTTGCTGTTCACCATATTGGCACTTACAGGTGAAATTCCAGCAAGGACCTCTGAATGTCCACTGGTAGAGATGGTTATCAAGGGTAAGAAGTAGACCCTGAGAATTAGAGGCCAGAGATGTTGCTATCCAATTCTCATTTTTGCTCTATCTGCATCTACATCCTGATGACAGCAAAATTAGACCGTTTGCCTCTATATCCTGATTATGGTCAAATGTTAGGTCAACACCATCAACATAATATTGAAAGATTACTGAGAAAAGAGTCTAAAAGGTGCCAGTATGGTAGCTGTGAAAAATTTCTCATTTAGTGGACTCTCAAGTGTGTTATTCACTCCCTCTGGAATTTAGTATCTTCTCTTTTAAAAAGATTTAATATCAATACTGCCAACTATATACATCATGGATATTTAGAAGTGACAACAGAGTAAAGATGAAAACTGACTGGGAAAAGGTAGAGTTTTCCAAACCCGGTCAAACAAAGGATGGCAGGAGGAAAGCAGATGGATCTGAAGCCGAGACAGAGCCAAGGCATCTTGTGTGCACATCGTCTTCACATTGATCCTGAGAAGAAACACCACAGGAACTGGAGCACATATCTACATCTGCACGTCGAGAGGATGGAGCATCAGGGTTCTTTTTACTCTTTCCAAATTTTAATGCTCATTCTACTAAAAATAATTTAAAAATAAGGGCAAAATTAAAAAATGCAAACAAGATCACAAAATAATCAGACCTTAGAAATGTACTTTCTGTGAAAATGCTATTTTAAAAATATCTTGTTAAATTTGAAGAATTTTGACTTCTGTGAAAAATCATCAATAAGAGGTCCATATATTTGTACCTCTGAAATTTGAGGCTATGTATGGATTTCTAAACCCTCAGGATTTTCAACAGTATAATCACTTTCCCTTTATCTTTCCCTTCCTTATTCTCATGTCTCCAATCTCTTCTGCTCTTCCCCCACTCAAGTCACATATTTATGATATAATTTTGAATGAAAATATTTCCTTTCTTTTCTTGACTGTCATATTTTACTAAACGTGTATGATGATTTTCTATGTTTTTTTTAAAAGGTATTTTCATTCTTCCTTCATATTCTAGTACTGGACCAGCATTGTGGCATAGTAGGTTGGGGTGCTTCCTGCATCCCACATGGGTGCTGTTTTGAGTCCCAGTACTTCCACTTCTGATCTGGCCCTGCCAATGTTCCTGGGAAAGCCCAAGTATTGGGCTCCTGCAACCTACATAGGAGACTTCTATAGAATTCTAAGATCCTGATTTTTTACTGGCCCAGCCCTGGCTGTTGTGGCCATATGGGATGCAGACAGATTCTCTATCTCTCTCCCTCTCTCTCTCTGTCTCCCTCCGTCTCTTTCTGTATTTTCCTCTCTCTGTAATTCTGCCTTTCAAATACATAAATCTTAAAAAAAGTTTCAACTATCCAACTTGTTATATGTGTCACAATAACTATTAATATTATATATTTGCAGAGGAAATCCAAATGGCAAACAGACACATGAAAAAATGTTCAGGATTGCTAGCCATCAGGGAAATGCAAATCAAAACCACAATGAGGTTTCACCTCACACCGGTTAGAATGGCTTTCATACAGAAATCAACAAACAACAGATGCTGGTGAGGATGTGGGGAAAAAGACATTCAGATCTGGTTAAAAAGCCCATGAGAGCATTTCAGGCATGGAAAGCCAAGACACTGTGGCAACAAATGACCTAAATGAAAGATCTCTGTGATTGAGATGCTGGTGGAAAGAAGGGTTCATCAAAGAGAGAACTTCCACTTTGATTATGGCCTTGTCTAAATAATGTCAGAGTTTGTGGACTCAAAAAGCTTCCATAGCCTTGGCAGCTCATGACAAGAGCCTCAGGTGATCACTGATGTCATAAATAAGAGTGTCAATTGTTAAATCAACAACAGGAGTCACTGTGTACTTGCTCCCCATGTATGTCCTTTGTCCTTAATATATTGTACTATGAGAATTAACAGTAAAATTAGTCTTCAAACAGTTCTTTATACTTTGTGTGTATGTGTGGGTGCAAACTGTTGAAATCTTTACTTAGTATAGAGTTGATCTTCTGTGTATTAAGATAATTAAAAATGAATCTTGATGAAGAATGGGATGGGAGAGGGAGTAGGAGGTGGGATGGTTTCTGGATGGGAGGGTGGGTATGGAGTGAAGAACCGCTATACTCCAGAAGTTGTACTTAGGAAATTTAGATTTATTAAATAAAAGCTCTCTGAAAATATTATTTACTTGCTTAATTATGAATTCCCATATTGTATTAATTTTATTTGTGTGCATTCATATGCAGTGAATAATGGTATTTATAATAAACAATTAATAAATATATACTAGGAACAGTAAACATAATAAGACTGCTAGGGAATCAGCTTGGGATCCCCTGAGTATTTGTTTTTGTAATCTTCTTAGTTGGTTCTATTCATCTCCATTTTGAGATCCAGCTTAGTGGGATATGTGGATTCAGCTGTCAGATACATTTTTTTAAGTTGACATAATCTGAATTATAAAAATGGATAGAGTTGGAGCAATTAGTACCAGTGATAAACTATATGGAGTAATACATACTTCATGCTAACCACAGAATCACTGACTCCAAAATTGAACTAATTTTGTCTATAGCATCACAATTCTTTTGGTACCCAGAAAATAATAATTCCTTTGAATTGCAATTGCCTGTGTTATCTAAGTTGTCATCAGGACCAATTCTTTTCTCATACTGTCTATTTAATCTGTATCCAACCAAAAACATGGTAGCAGACACACAGACATGGCTATGGCTCATGACCCCTAACTTTCAAATTGATACTTATAATTATTCTCTCATTTTCATAGCATCCTAGCTTCTTTGGAGAAACATTTCATTCATTTACATTTGATCACTTACAGCTGAACTCTAAATTCTTCAGTGACTCTTCATATTCTACCACAGTTATGTTAAAGTTCAGTCACAGATTCCAGGGCTCACATAATAATGGGTTGAACTAAGCAGACCCATACGCTGATGTAGCCAAATTTCCTACTTCTCTCTTGTGTCTATGCTGAAGAGAAATTTCACCAGGGTATCCATTTTGTAAAAAACATTCTTATATAAAAATATTATTGTTTCCTGTTCTTTATTTACTCTCTATAGTACTTTATTTATATTTCTTTCATGATATGCTCCACATTTTATTATATATATTTATACGTAGAGGTGGGGGAAGGATATGTACCCCTCTCTCTGTGTCAAAAATTTATGAAAGAGATTTTCTTTTTCTCTTGTTTTCCTTACTAGATTGCTTCTATATATTTTTTGAGTAAGCATGTGACTTAATCATGCCCTAGTATATATTACACATGGTAGACATTTACTACATATTAATTAATTTTAATTAGTTGAAACCAGTAATCATAACTTTTCCTTTTGATGTTCAGATATGTTATATTACATTAACATCTTGATATCACTATTTTCAGCTATGATCTCAATTACTTTCACTGATACTGAATTACAACTCAACCCAGATACTTTTTCATTCCAAGCACAAGAAGTCAAAACAGAGGTAAAATATTTCTTATTTTGGGGCCAGCCTTTTGGTGCATCTGATTAGGCACCACCTGCAACACTGGCATCCCATGTGGAAGCACTGGTTCAAGTCCCAGATGCTCCACTTCTGATGCCGATGCTTGCTAATGTGCCTGGGAAAGGAGGAGAAGATGATTCAAGTACTTGAGTGAAGTAGCAGACGGAAGATTTCTTTCTGTGTTTCTTCCTGTCTCTGTCACTTTGACTTTCTTTTATTATCATTATTTCTATTTTAAAATTTGTTGGTTATTTAATTTAAAATTTAAGAATTTTTAACATTTTCCACATTCAATTCATATGTACACATTGTGTGCATACACATATATACTATTTTCTTCTTGAAAACAGAGATAAATTATATAAATCTTTTTTAAAAATGCTGTATCTTACTCAACTCTGATATGTTAGACTTTTATTGTTAATTCTTAAGTTGATACATCTTATCAACCAATAAGTTTATTTATTCTATTTACTAAAAATCAGTGGATTTTGATTTTATTGTCTTTTTGTTCAACTGGATAATGATAATTAAAATATTTGTATGCAAGCTTCATAGTATATTCATGAAAATTCAGTGTGAATTACTTTGAAATTTAAAGAGAAAATAGCTTCATGAAATAATACAAAAGGCATAGGGGAATATAGTCAGTACCTGGCAGGACTACTTTCATGGTAAAAATTACACTGGAAGGATTCTGGAAATTTCCAGGTATCTTTGATCTCCTTAGAAAACGAAGTTAAAAAAAAATAAATAAATAAAAAACGAAGTTAATTACTTTCTTAGGATTTCTTATTTTATAAATCATATCTTGTGTCAATTTTTAATAAAAGTACTTTAGAAATATAGTTATGTTTTGTATCATATTTCTTTCAAAATGGGACAGACACCATTGCCAGGACAATGATAAAATATATTTTAAATGAATCCTGAGGAAAAATTTTATCTTCATATATACTCTGGACCAAATGTTTTTTTATATGATCTGGTCAGGGGAAAACATCTGTGTTGCAGGATTTCTTATAGAAGGATATCCTTTAGTCAGCTTTTTTATTTTAGTTTTTTATATAACCAGAATTTTAAAAAGGACAGTTAATTGTAGAATGCTTTCCTTTCTTTACCATAATTGGTTTGTTTTCTTCCTAAAACAACTTTCAAAATCTCATTATTTGGTTGTCTTCACTCACATATTTTTCTGTATCTGAGAAAAGCCAGTTTTCTTCTCTTACACTTAAAAATGTGTCATCATATTATTTCATAATCTTTATATTTTTCTGTCACCTCTCTCCAAATAGGCAGAAATATATCTTTTTGTTACTAAGTGCTATTGAGTTTCTGTGATACCCTTGGATTATTATGAATAAAACCAAATCATGTACTTTACTTCAGGGGAAGAATAAAGCTATTAAAGAAGAATATGTAGAGTGCTATCTTGGTTTTCTGAACACTTTTTGTATACCTAGATATGGAAGATTTATAGGAACATAGAGGTGAAATTAATAACCAAATAACTGCAAGGATAAGTTCAGAAAATAAACTTGAGAGAGGTGAATAGTGGAGAAGAAAGAAAAAAGTAATGTATAAATACTAATGTTCTAACAAATGCTTAATTATATTAAATATATATTATACATATAGTATTATTGATATATAATTATAAGTATTATAGATATCTGTTGACTATATGAATATAGGAAGGAGTATAAGGAAAATTGGAAATAAGAGTTAAAGGTGTTAGAGTCACTCAGGTGGCCAGCGCTGTGGTGCAGTGGGTTAACACTCTGGCCTGCACCACCAGCTTCCCATATGGACACTGGTTAGAGACTCAGCTGTTCCATTTCCAATCCAGCTCTTTGCTATGGCCTGGGAAAGCAGTAGGGGATGGCCCAATCCTTGAGCCCCTGCACCCACATGGGAGACCCAGAGGAGGCTCCTGGCTTCTGGCTTCAGATCGACATAGTTCCAGCCGTTGCGGCCAATTGGGGAGTGAACCATCAGATGGAAGAACTCTCTGTCTGCCTCTGCTACCTCTGCTGTGTAACTCTGACTTTCAAATAAGTAAGTAAATATTTTAAAAAAAAGAATCACTCAGGTAACTCACTTAATTTGCTTAAAAAGGACTGTGGGGAGTTCTTGCTTTTCTGGCTGTATAAAATAATTATGGGGGATATTAATGGAATTTAATTTACCTAAATGTCAAGCAAAAATATGTGAATGGTTTCCCTGAGGTTGACAAATTGGTGTTAAGAGATAAAAGGATCTATAAATCTCAAGGAAATGCAAAGTGTAAGGGAGCAAACATAGAGTTCTAAGTATCTGTCCAAGTGGCTTAAGAAAACATGGAGCCCATTTTTTAAAAGAAGTGTACATCTTAATACATTCTTCATTAACTTTCTAAACTTGATTCCAACATAATATGTTAATAAAACAAAATAGGAATAGCAGTTACAGATTTAGTTCACCTGTGACCCACATTATCTTCCTAATGGCATTATCTGACGACCTTTGCTATGGTTTTAATCTCATGCTCTCTGCCTACCAGATTTCATTATTCTAACAGGTTAAATCTGTCACAGATTTAAACAACCTTTGATTTAGCTGAATTGCAGGCCTTAAGTGATCAATTGTTCTCTACACAAAACCCATATTGGTATCTACAAACTTTGTAATTTAATAGAAGTTTCAAAGTAAAAATGAGCTTTAAAGGCTTGCCTGAAAATATTTAAATGAAAACAAAAGTTTCTAAAAGTAAACAACTTGAGTAGCTACTTATATTTTTCCACAGTTCTTCTCATAATGAAATAGTGAATAACATTTTACCAAATTTATGCATAAAACAAAACTTTATATGAATATTCGCTTTCAGGTGTAAGTCTATATATTATACTCATATGTATATTTATCTTGTTCCCACAGTAAGCCTCAAAAGTAAGAGTTATTTAGTTACTAACATTACAGAGGATACTCAGGTACCAAGAGGTTAAAAGACTTGCCCAAGTTTATAGTCTTAGTAAATTCAGAGGTAAAAATTTGAATAATGTAATACTTTGAAACCTGTATCAGTACATTTAATTTTTTAAAGCTTTTATTTCATAAATATAAATTTCATTAGTACAGCTTTTGGAATATAGCAGTTATTTCCCTCATATCCGTCCTCCCATCCCACTCCCGCTCTACTACCTCTTACTCCCTCTCCCATCCCATTCTTCATTAAGATTCATTTTTAATTATCTTTGTACACAGAAGATCAACTCTATACTAAGCAAAGATTTCAACAGTTTGCACCCACACAGACACACAAAGTATAAATCATCAGTACATTTTCTATAATTGTAGTGCTCATATCTCAAACAAAAATATGTGTGACTTGTAGAATTAGTTTTTTAACATGTTTTTACAACTTACTTTACAGTTTTACTCCTGAATACTCTCTTTATAGCAATTATGAAGCCTAAGTAAGGAAAGTGGTTTTAACTTTTGACTAGCCTTCCCTCCCAAAATCCCTTCTGCATTTACCTGGTACTGGGTTGCAGTTCATCAGCTTGCCAAGTATGTGACACAGAGATGAGGAGCTCAAACATTATACTCAGATAGGCTTGCTGTTTAAGTATCTTCTCAGTCTTCTGTAGTATCAAGCACTCTGATCTACTGCAGGGTCATTTTTAAACAACCAACTCCTATTTATGGTCATTCATACAGTCTATAGATCCACAGGGAACTTTCCCATGAGTTTTCATGCCATTACCATCATAGTCTCATTCTTCTGTTTAAATCTCTGAGAGTCAGCATAATTAGCAACTACTGTCGCCAACATGTCCAGGAGAAAAGAACCAGAGAGACTAAAAAGTGAGAGAAGCTCAGAGAAATCAAGAAAAATTTCTAACAAAGGGTGGGCATTGTGACACAGCAAGTTAAGCTCCCAATTACAATGCTAGCATCCCATGTGAGTGTGAGTTCAAGTCCCAGCTGCTTCCCTGCTTATCCTGTTTCCTATTGGTTCACCTGGGAAGGCAGCAGAGGATGGATAGAGTGCTTGAGCCTCTGCCACCCACATAGGAGACCCAGGTAGAGTTCCAGGATCCTGTCTTTGGCAGGTATTGTGACCATTTAGGGGTCACACTTATCAAACTAGCAAAGGGAAAAATATTTCATTTTATATCATGCTGGAAATCCCCTTTGATTTAGCCTTATTGTAAAGTAATTTATAATTGTATATCATACGTAAGAATGAACATATCTATTGGCACAGCAGTTCTGGCTCCATAGATTCTTACACAATACTCAGAGGTAGATATACAAAGAACTTCCTTACAATGTTATTTGGTCTAGCAAGGGATTAAATGTATCAATAATGACTACCAATCCTGAAGTTGTTAAATACATCTTTACAATGCAATTCTATACATTCATTAAAAACAATGAGGCAAGTCCATAGCCACAGAATTAGAAGTGTCTCAAATTTAAGTAGGTAAGGAAAAAAAAATTCATGATCATGTTTATAAAGCAACATAAAGGGTTATCTCTTCATTAACTTATCAACATACACATGTAAATGAATATACTTACAGAACAATACTTGTACATATTCACAGATATGCCATAAATGCTAATATATGTATAGGTATATTGGGAAAAGTGGAAAATTGAGAAGGGAATAAAGAGCCAAGGAGAGATCTATTGATTCCATGAATACCTTATTGCATGTTTCTTGTACTTTTCATGCTATTTCTATTTAAATATAACAAGAATAAAACAAAATTATTATGTCCTTTATGGGAGGCTTCCTGAGGTATATATGTTGAGTGTTTCACAACTGTAACTGTGTTTAACATCTGAAGTGAAACAAATCAAAATTTTAGCCCAACCAAATATCATTCAATGTGCATCTCTTTATTTTTAAACTTGATGGTTTTACATTTAAATTTATTTTTTAAAGTAATATATGTACATAATTTAAAGTCAAATAGTTCTACATGACTTTGTAAAAAAACCAAAAATAGTATCTCATTCCTTCTCTGCCTCCATTTCCTATTTTCCCAGGGTATGCACTTTTGGCTCTGACAGTTTTTCTGACAGTTTCTTGAATATTTCTCAATGACTTCCACATTGCCAAAATACACTCATTCAGTGTCTTTCAGTTCCAGGGACTGCTCCACGCACTTGGGATGGGATATAGCAGTGAACAAAAGAAAAATCCTTGCCTCCATCTCAGAAGTTAAAATTTTAGAAGATGGGACATAAGAGAAAATAAGCGTAATAAGTCTTGCTACATTATGTGTTAGAAGATAACCAGTATTATGGATGAAAGAAATAATTTTATTTTTTTCATTTGTCCTTTGAAGACAATTAACAGTTACAGAGATGATCAAATCTCATTTTTTAAAAGATTTATTCATTTATTCGAGAGGCTGAATTACAGACAAGAGAGGGAGAGACAAAGAGAAAGCATTTTCCATTTGCTGGTTCACTCCCAAAATGGCCAAACCAGAGCCAGGATCCAGGAGCTCCTGTGGGGTCTCCCCTGTGTGTGAGGGAACCCAAGCACTTGGGCCATCCTCTGCTGTGTTCCCAGGCCACCAGCAGGGAGCTGGATCTGAAGCAGAACAGCTGACGCAAACTAGCACCCACATGAAACACCAGCACCATAACAGAGGCTTACTCTACCACACTACAGTGCCAGCCTCCAAATCTCTTTTAAGCACAATAGTCAAGTTCAGTTAAGTATTTTAGGTAAGAACCATCATCTACACTTAAGAAACAAAGATATTGTACCCTCAGTTTACACTTTATTTCACTCTGTTAGATTTTTCTTAACTTTTATTTAATGAATATAAATTTCCAAAGTACAGCTTATGGATTACAATGGCTTCCCCCAAATAACTTCCCTCCCACCCACAACCCTCCCCTTTCTCACTCCCTCTCCCCTTCCATTCACATCATGATTCATTTTCGATTCTCTTTATATACAGAAGATCAGTTTAGCATACATTAAGATTTCAACAGTTTGCTCCCACGCAGAAACATAAAGTGAAAAATACTGTTTGAATACTAGTTATAGCATTAAATCTCAATGTACAGCACACTAAGGACAAAGATCCTACATGAGGAGTAAGTGCACAGTGACTCCTGTTGTTGACATAACAAATTGACACTCTTGTTTATGGCATCAGTAATCACCCTAGGCTCTTGTCATGAGCTGCCAAGGCTATGGAAGCCCCCTGAGTTCACCGACTCTGATCATATTTAGACAAGGCCATGGTCAAAGTGGAAGTTCTCTCCCCCCTTCAGAGAAAGGTACCTCCTTCTTTGATGACCCGTTCTTTCCACTGGGATCTCACTCACGGAGATCTTTCATTTAGGTGTTTTTTATTTTTATTTTTATTTATTTTTTTTTTTGCCAGAGTGTTTTGGCTTTCCATACCTGAAATACTCTCATGGGCATTTCAGCCTGATCCGAATGCCTTAAGGGATGATTCTGAGGCCAGAGTGCTGTTTAGGACATCTGCCATTCTATGGGTCTGCTGTGTATCTCACTTCCCATGTTGGATCGTTCTCTCCCTTTTTGATTCTATCAGCTAGTATTTGCAGACACTATTCTTGTTTATGTGATCCTTTTGGTTCTTTTTTTTTTTTTTTTTTTTATTTATTTATTTATTTTTTTTTTACAGGCAGAGTGGAGAGTGAGAGAGAGAGACAGAGAGAGAAAGGTCTTCCTTTGCCGTTGGATCACCCTCCAATGGCCGCCGCTGCAGCCGGCGCACCGCGCTGATCCGATGGCAGGAGCCAGGATCCAGGTGCTTTTCCTGGTCTCCCATGGGGTGCAGGGCCCAAGCACCTGGGCCATCCTCCACTGCACTCCCTGGCCATAGCAGAGAGCTGGCCTGGAAGAGGGGCAACCGGGACAGAATCCGGTGCCCCAACCGGGACTAGAACCCGGTGTGCCGGCGCCGCAAGGTGGAGGATTAGCCTATTGAGCCACGGCGCCGGCGATCCTTTTGGTTCTTAGTCCTATCATTATGATCAATTGTGAGCTGAAATTGATCACCGGGACTAGTGAGATGGCATTGGTACATGCCACCTTGATGGGATTGAATTCGAATCCTCTGGTATGTTTCTAACTCTACCGTTTGAGGTAAGTCAGCTTGAGCATGTCCCGAATTGCACATCTCTTCCCTCTCTTATTCCCACTCTTATAGTTAACAGTGATCACATTTCAGTTAAGTTTCAGCACTTAAGAATAATTGTGTATTGATTACAGTATTCAACCAAAAGTATTAAGTAGAACAAACAAAAAAAATACTAAGAGGGATAACATATTTTAAACACAAAAACCTCCAACTAATCATAACAGAATTTAGTATCTCTAACTTTCGCAATTACTGTGCTATCATTGTTTTTCATTAGTAATTTTTTTTTCCTGAAAAGGTTCAACAAGTGTTGAGAAGAAAAGTCAGAAAGGAAAGAGTTGCCTATGTCACCCCACCTCCAACTCCAGGTGGCACAGAGTCAAGGGATTCCTCTTGTTTTGAAGAATGAGAGGGAATTGAGGGCAGAACTTAGAATTGGAATCCGGGACCAGGCCTACCGTGGCTAAACTCAGCACTGGGAAGAGACTTATAGCTCCTGTGCCTAGGCCAATGTCCACAAATGGAATTTCTGGATACATTCAAGACCCAGGTGGAAACTCATGACCACTGCAAAAAGGATTCATGTACTGGCAACACTGTTGGCTGCAATAGGGCTACATTGAACCCTCCAGACTGTGACATTAGGATATGACTCAGTTTAGCATCAGTCTGGGTGGCCAAACTGTTGCTACCACTTCCCAGCCCCCCTTCTCCATAGCACAGCATGGATAAAGACTCCCTCCATTGGAAGACAAAGATATTCTCAGACAGAGAAGTAAGTGGAAGACATTGACTTGAAAAACTGTTCTAACCTGCCATGGTGTAAACAACATTGGGAAAATCCAGTGCTCCTGTCTCTGGCCAGTACTCATGGATGGGGCTGGGAGACCTGCACCAGGCAGAGACCAGTGGCTTCAATGGGCTTTGATCTTGCTTTGTACTGGACTGTTTTGTTGGGCTCTGGACTCGGGGTCCATTCCAGCATTGGGACAATTGTGACTGCTCACTTCATTCCTGCTCCAACTTCAGGCAGCACACAGTGGGAAGAGTCATCGACTGCTTGGGAGTAGAAGAGGAAGGTAGGCACAAGATGTGGCTTTGGAGAACAGGTTTGTGCACATCACACAGTGAGGCCCAGCACTGGAAAGATACTATGGCATCTGACTAGTGCTGGTAATTGGTATTAATATGATATTTTTTATTCAGTGTGACATTTGTGATTTTTGTGAAAGAATGGAAATAGACACTTCTGTACACTTACTGTGCTTAATCAGACTCTGTTTTTACATAAATATTTATGGTGCTGATTATAAAGATTAAAAATAGAAAAATTACACGAAGATTTATACTGTTAAAGCCTAAAGAATGTAAGACACCATTTAATTTTGTTCTTGATATATATATCATTGGAAGGCAATAACCCGATTTCCATCTTTTGGAGATGATGTACATTCAGTACATTGTCACCTGAAATAGAATTTTTCCCTACATATATTGATATTTTCATTTCTCCCTTCAAACTAATACTAATCAGCAGAGGATATTTTACTAATAATTTCTCAAATATATAGACATTGAATATACTTGTCTTCTTGGTTTATTTGCATATAGTATGATCTTAAATTGCCTTTTAATTTTTCAAATGTTATGAAATATATTTTATAGGTATGATGTGTATTATTTGTGGACAGTGCTAGCATCATCTCATCCCTCACAGTGGTAAACACAGAATGGTGCATAGTTATTACTGATCAATTGAATGAGTAAGGAATAAATTGTTGATATGTTGATCTATGACCTTACCCATCAGATACTGCATTTTTATTCAAATGACACATATTTATATATGGCACATATAACAGTTTTATTTTCTTTGATATAAAATTACTGTTGACCATTACACAGTATATACAAAATGTTGAAATATAACAATCCACTTCCAGAAATATGTATCATTGCATGATGATAAAAATTTTCTTTAAAAATATCTATGAAGGTGGAAAAATAGGCTATTTATAATATAATACTGGTGTTAGTGCTGCTTTCATTGAGTGCATCCTAGCTGAATAATTAGTGCTTTAAAAGAACATTGAGAATGAAACAAATGTGTTAAAATCTGACTTAGCCAAAAAGAGACTATTGCGAATGAATGCTTATTTCCCAAGGTTGCTGAGATACTTCTTCCTGGTCATGAGATATTTTGACTAGGCATATGGCCTTTCTTTTTTCAAAAAATTAGTTGTTTTAGGCATGCATATGAATAATAGTCCATAAGACTCCTCATAAGCCCTTTGGAAATA